CACCTATAAAGTATAAATCACCAACCTAAGAACTCATGTTGCAAAAACCCATATCCATCCAGCATCTATTCGCATTGGTGTTGATTCATTTACAAAGACTTTTTTCATATTAAAACGTGTTCGAGGGATCACAAACTCACAGGTACGACATATTGCTCTTTCTATTGATCATATTTGACAAATTTAAAAATTGATTTTAGGAAAGTTTAAGTCACCTTAAATTGATTTTTAAGGTATCACATAGGATAATTTTGAAAAATCGATTATACTTAAATCTCTTTTTTTACCGTCGCTTGTTCTACCACCTCTCTCAAACATACTTTGAAAAGCACGGAGAATCTCCCTCATGCAGCGTTGGTAAAAGCAAAAAGAAAAGGGAAAGAAAAGCTTTCATAAAACAATATCTTTAGAGTTGCTTTCAATATTGCATGCCTGTGTTTTTGGGGACTTGGGATTTGAAAAATTGAGGATACTTTTGCTAACGTTTTCTTGTTTTTTATTCTTTATTTTTAATAGAAAAAATATATTCCAACATTCTAACCTCCAAAAATTCAAGTATTATAAAACAATCTTTTATTTATGTGGTGAAACGAATTGGAAATGAGAACAAGAACCGTGAAATTTGTTTTGATTGTTTCGAAAATTTCTATATAAGAATGTTTCCGAAAAAAAAAAAGAGAAACAAGAATCAAAGTTAGTTGTAAAATACTTACATTTCTTAAGAAAATTGAAAGCGAAAACGTTACCAAATGGATCTTAAATTGAAACCCACTTCATCTCTCAAGAACAGATCTCTGAGTTAGAAACTTTTGTATGTTTGTTGCAGTGAGACAAAGTTGTGTGATCTGTGGAGATGGACTTGGAGAATTTGAAGCCGTTCATGGCGATGGTGGGTGTAGATTTTGGGTATGCCGTAGTGAATATTCTGATGGAGGCAGCTCTTAGCCATGGAATGAACCACTTGACTCTCATCACTTATCGCCTCTGCATCGCATCCATTTCCTTGGGCCCCATCGCATACTTTTATGAAAGGTGGTAATTTTTACTTCATTTTCCCTCAATATAGTTCATCTTCTCTTCTTCTTCTTTTTATTTGAATTATCATTTAAATTTTGTTGTGTAGGGATGGTCGAGGCAAACTCTCCTTTCGTATCCTCTCTTATTTGTTCTTAAGCTCCATTCTTGGGTCAGTTCTAAGTTTGAGAATTTTGAGAATAATTAAGAATTGATCATTGAGAATGGATAATTAATTAGTTTTTATTGTGTGGTTCTACTTGTAGGGCTTCGCTCACCCAATACTGCTTTCTTCTGGGCATCGAACACACCTCCGCTACTTTCGCCTGTGCATTCCTCAACATGATCCCTGTCGCCACTTTTCTCATGGCTCTTCTCTTTAGGTATTTCCATTCTCATTTGTAATAATATTATATTATTATGTTCTTAACTCTTTAAAGATGAGAAGGAATCTTGTCTCCAAGAAATACAAAAACAGACTTTTAAATAAAATGAGTTGTGTTGGGTTGTCAAAGGAGAATGCAAACATAAAGTCCCGCGGAAAAGAAAATGATTAGGACAATTATCTCTTGGTATGGGATATTTTGAGTGAAATCAAACAAGTATCTCCATTGATACGAGATATTTTGGGTGAAACCAAACGTAAAGTTGTGAAGCTTATGCCCAAAACGAATAATATCATATCATTATGACGATATTGTTATGGTTGCTCGACGGCACTTTTTCGCCTTTCTCTTCACTCTCGAACGGGAGGGTTAGTAGACACAGGGAGAGGGAGCAGGTAAAGCGTGTGTCGTTCGTAAATAGAAAGAAAGAGTCACTGCACTTCCCTTCTTAACAGTAGGCATCTTTCCAGGAAGTTGATGGGCTCACCATCGAATTAGGTCGGAGTGATTGGTGGTTTCGGGATCGTGTAGAAAATGCAATGAGCTTAAGTATTATCCTTTACTTTTCCCGAGTGCAGGTTGGAGAAGGTGAAGTTGAAATCCAACAGTGGAAAAGCCAAGATGCTGGGAACCGTGATTTGCATCTCCGGCGCGGTGCTGTTGATCACGTTCAAAGGACCAGCTTTGGCCAACGGTTCATACGTCGCCAAGAAAGCTGCCGCCGCCGCGGTGAAGAAGACGAATCAGACGTTGGGGTGCATAGCTCTGGTGGTCGGAACTCTACTGTGGTCGTCATGGTTTCTCCTGCAGTCAAAGATCGGGAAGAGATATCCGTACGAGTACTCCAGCACCGCCATCATGTCCTTCTTCGGTGCCGCCCAATCCGCCGTCTTCAGCCTCTCCACGGGCGCCACTCTTTCCTCTTGGGCCCTCCATGGCAACATTCAAATCATCACCGTTGTGTACTCTGTGAGTACTCTGTGAACACTAATTAATTAAAATAGATTAACCGTAATCAATTAAACAATCTATCGACTTAAAATTTATCTAGAAGTGTGAAAATTTGATTAATTTCGTGGGAATTAATTAAATGGCAGGGGATGATCGGATCGGGGCTGTGCGTGGTGGGAACCTCATGGTGCGTTAAAAAGAGAGGTCCAGTTTTCACTGCAGCCTTCAACCCCTTGGTTCAGATAATTGCAGGCATGTTCGACATCCCCTTCTTCCACGACCCACTCTATCTCGGGAAGTAAGTATTCTTTTGGTAACGTTTTCGTTTCCTATTTCTGTTTCTTCATTTTTAATAAAGAATAATAAAATTGTATTATCCCAACATCCATAAATTCAAGGATGATCAAACAATATTTAGATTTATGTTTTGAACTTGTTTTAATCGTTTCCAAAATTTCTATACAATTTTGATACTGTTTCCAACAATAAACATAACCAGTTATCAAATGCTTAAGTTTTTTATATAAAATTAAAAACAAGAAACAAGAAACAAAGAAACAGTAACGCGTTATCAAACTTACCCTAATTAACTAACTATAACCAACTAACTCCTTAATTAATTTCATAATTATTTTGTCTAGTAACACAATCAATTACATTACAACTACAGCGTGTTGGGGTCGCTGATGGTAATAATTGGACTCTACATTTTGCTGTGGGGAAAGAGCCAGGAAATGGAGGGCTCTGTTTCGAAGGTGGTGGCCATGGACCAAATTACAACTACAGCTGCTGAAGATTGTGAGATCAAAGAATTTAAACATGATGATAATCCATAGAAAATTAAATGGTTACACATATAGGGGTTGGGTTTTTGTTTCTCCAACAGTTTTGCTGATTATCATGTATGGCCAGAAAGGGCAAAAAAAAATGGAAGAAAGAAAGGAAGTAGGGTTTTTATTTTTTCAGTTTCTTCTGACCAGCTCATATGTCAAGAGAAACACCTAATATTGTAATATTAACGGCTAGGCCGTTTTGTTGGGAGGGTATATAATGTAAAATAACATATCATGACATCTAGCTATATATATAGGTGGTTCTTTATCGGATTTTAAGTGTCTATGTCGATGGAAATGTTGAGGGTTGAATTTTATAAAAATATTAATATTGTCGATGTCAATGGATATTTATGTAAAATTAGATAAATTAAAAAAATCGTAAAAGATATTTAAATTAACAAATATCTTTTACGATGTCGAACTCATTGAATACATAGAAATGTCGATGGAAATGCCGACGTATCGACAGATATATTTACTACTATGGTCCCTTGCAAGTAATTTTGGTTTCCGTGTCAAAGCGAGCATAGCTCAGGGGTAATTGACATATCTCCAATCAAGAGCTTGTGAGTTCGATCCCTCATCCTACATGTTAATATGTTGTATTAAAAAAAGAAAAATATTTTTTTTTCGGAAGAAAAAAGAAGAAAAATATTTTGATTTCAGTTAAAAAAAATGGGTTTTTTGGATTATTATCTCTTCTAATATACATGTATTAAAGGATGAAATGTCAAGATTTACTTCTAACTCTAATYATTAGTTAAAAACTTTTTTTCCCTCCATGGTCTTACTTCTAGATCTTTGCAACTTTTTAAATGGACAAAGTGAGCCTACCTCAACRGTGGCATGATCATGAGTTCGAATCTCTCACTCTCCACTTGTTATATTAAAAAAAAAAAAATCAAATACAATCATAGTTTTCACTAAATTTTTTGTTTTATGTAGCCTCTACACTTTAGTTTTCTCAATTTTCATTATTTTCTGAATTTTATGTTTTGATTTTTTGCATTTTAGTTATATGATTTTCTAAAGTATTGGGGTTTTCTTTTCTCAAGATAACACATGATCAATTATGTAATTGCTTTTTTGATAAAATATTAAAGGTGAAAGTTAAATTTTTATTTAACTCGTGATGTTTTCCATTTTAAAAAGAAAATTTAATGGAGATTTCTATTGCATATTTTTGGTATTGGATTGGCCTATATTGTATTAATTTACTAAATTAAGCCTCAAAATATAATTAAAATACAACTTTAATTAAAAATAAAATAAAAACAACATTATATAATAATCATCATTATTATCCAACCATGAGAACGATCGATTTCTACCTTATCTCGTTTCCATCCAGTGACGTCTCGACTTATCAGCATGAGGTCTTTGCCTTAGTGTATCATTCAGCTTTAATTTCTTGAGCTCCTCTCTCTTCCCTATCAATAATTGGCAATGAAATGAGTAGCAAATGTCAATTATAAATCTTTGTTAGATCTTTTATCTTTTTGGTGAGTAATCCTTAACATGTTCCCTCAAAATCGTGGCTCATTTAGTTCATCGTGATCTCATTGTTGGACTTTGATACTATATTAATATTCATGAAGTTCTATCTAAAAAACCAATTGACAATGATATGATCAGTAGCTCGTGTCTATTATAAACAACATTTGTTAGGTCTCTTATCTTTTTAATGTGGGGTCCTTAATAACATGTGTTGTTGTTGTCGTTCTCTTTGTCAAAGTAAAGAGGAAGATGAAATGATTTGGAGACGATAGGGCGGTGATAACTCTCATGAGTAAAAGAGTTATCTTAGGTTGAATTTAGCCCGGAAATAATAGAATTTATTGCACGTTTTAACACCAAATGGTATTAGGCTATGAGAAATGAATTTATGAAGAGTTGTAAAACCTCTGTGTTTTGTATGGAAATTTATAAAAAAATTTACTCATTTGTACTACTATTTTGTTTTAGTGAAGGAGATGTTGGATCATTGGAGCTACTCACTTAAAGCTAAGTTGAAAAGTGACAGGTGAATCACCTGGGAAAACCGAAAAAGGCAATAAATAAAATTACCCCATAATTTTTACTGAAGTTCATACGTTGTCCATTTGTTGTCTTAATTTTTAGGGATGGTATAGAATCAACGATCCTTTCTTATTTTGTTGTGATTTGATGTCAACATTATTGAGTTAAACACATTTGTGGAGGGTTATGAACTTTTACTTGTAAATGCTGATTTCTAATTATTGAAGTTGATTACTATTTGATTAAAATCTAAGCTTAATCTCAATGTTCTTGATAACTGATCAAAGTATTAGTATATATTTAGTCTTACTAGTTTTAGAAGAATTTTTTAATATATGAAAAATCTTAAATATAGATATATATCTCGAGTATGGAGCATGAGTGTTTAGGAATAAGGTTTGCCGAGTATAATTAACTAAAATGTGCTTAAATTTGTCATTAAACACTTGGAAGATTTGTTTAATGGAATCGTGATGGTCCAAAAAGATCATACGTCTACTTGATTAATAGCATCAAATACTTCAACGCAAGAGCATGATTTAGTAATAGCTAATTAAGTAAAAGGGCATAAYCTTTACTACTTTCTCTGGATTGTTAATTCGTTTCTTATTGATCATTAGCTTAGCTATTTTATATGTAGTTTTCGATTATGTGTGGATTTAATTTCGAAACTTAATAGTTGTACTGAAAAGAAATACAAACATAATATATTTGTTTTGTTACATGGTTCTTTAGTTAGAATTAGAGCATTTTTTTGTTCCAATCAATCCATACGTGACGACTTTTGTTTGCTCCCTGCAACTTCAAAGTGTATTCTTGCATTTGCAAGATTGATTGCACAATAAGTTTTTGGTACCGTTAACGAGGATTGTTATTAGCTATTTGTTCTAAAAATTTCTTAAGAAGTTGGTGCTTAAAAGAACTCTTCGACCTGGATTCAGTGATTTGTGCACGAGTACTAACAAGTTATGCACAATTTGAAGGACTAGAATACTTGCTATTCATAAGAGAAGAATAGATTCTATTTTCATATCACCAACCAAAACGTACCCTAAAAAAGTCTATCTCTTTTTAGACAAAAATTAAAATAGCTTAAAATGGGACTTTCTAAGATACTCAACATCTATCGATGCTTGACTATTCTAAGATTAACACGATACAAACATGATAATCTAAATATCCATATAAAATAGATATCTTAGATTACCACTAAACAAAACGTGCCCTAAGTAGTTAATATTACAATGTTTAGTATTTCTTTTGACACGGGAGCTTGTCTGAAGAAACTGAACGTTAAAAAACCTACTTCTTTCTTTGTTTGAACTTTTTTCCTTCATCTTTTTTCTTGTTCTTCTAAGTTGACACTGTTTGAAAGACAAAACCCAACCTCCATCTCTGTAGGCATATTTTTTTTCCTCCTAGGGATGATCTTGTAATTCTTTCATCTCTTGTAATTCCTTCGTTTGATGATCTTGTTGATCTTGAGCAGTTGCAGTTACAATTCCCTCCATCACCACCACCTTTGAAGCACAATTCTTCATTTCCTTGTTCTTCCCCCACAGCAGAATATAGAGTCCAACTATCACAATCACCGACCCCAACAAGCTGCTCCAATAATTCATGGCCATTGTTTGTGTTATTATATATATATGCAAAATAATCGTTCTCATTAACCCGGTTCAATAATGATTTCGTTTTTTAGTTTTAGATTTCTGAAAATTTTGCTTTTCTCGTAAATTTTCTTTGGTTTAGCCAAATTTCAAAACATGTTTTAAAAAACTAAAGGGCCTCACGGATAACGATTTCGTATTTAGTTTTCTATTTTGAAAATTACGTTTGTTTTCTTATAATTTGTGTAGTATATTTCACCATTCTTTACAACATATTTGAATTATTAGTCAAATTTTAAGGAAAAAAACAAAAATTTTTGGCATTTCTTTTTAAAAAATTGATAACAACGCATACCAATATACATAATTAGAAGTAGTAGTTGTGAGACTAGTTTTCAAAAATAGAGAATTAATAACAAAATAATTATCAAACACGACCTAACATAACCATTGCTTTTATGTTTTTCAAAAAACAAGCTTCAAAATACTTTTACCTAGGTATTTCTTTGATTTGTCAGGTACTTTTTAACCGTTTTCAAAATCTAAGTTAAATTTTGTAAACAAAAATATAGTGTATGTTTAATAAACTTGTTTTTGTTATTGAAATTTGACTTAGAATTCAAATGTCTTTTTTTTTTTTTAATGGAAAACAATTCAATAGAAATGAAGCATAATTTGTAAAAGGCATAAAACTAAAATCAAGATAGTTATGAAACTTGAAATCTTAGACTCAAATTTTCACATTTGGTAATTTCTCCTAACTTGTTTCTTGTTTTACAAATTTATTAAGAAACCTCAGAATTTGATAGTTGTTTATGCTTCGTTTCTTCTTTTTCGAGAAAAAAAAAATTTTCAAAATTATATAGAAATTATGGAAAAAAAAATCAAGTTTCTTATTTTTTATTTTGGTTTCCAATTTATTTCAAAACAAAAATAAAAAGATTATATCATTCTGGATTTAATGGATAAGTTACCAGATATGGTTCTATTTTTCTTTACTAAAAAATGAAACAAAAAACATGAAACAAAAAACAAGAAACAAGAAACGGTAATATTATGAAACCGATCTTTAGTTTTGAAAAATAGAAAATCAAATAAAAAGACCCTTTCTTTATTTTGCTATCTACTCTTAAAACGTTTTCAAAATGTAAGCTATTTAAAAAAAAAAAACAAAATTTGGGTAAGAATTAAAATGTGTTTTTGAAGGGATTGTTAGGAAAGAAAGGGTTGAGAGTGAGAAATAAGGAGTTTATAGTGAATTACTTTCCGAGATAGAGTGGGTCGTGGAGAATGGGGATGTCGAACATGCCAGCCATTATCTGAACCAGTGGGCTGAACGCCGCCGTGAAAACTGGACCTCTCTTTTTAACGCACCATGACATTCCCACCACGCACAGCCCCGATCCGATCATCCCCTGCCATTTCAATTGATTCCCAACCAAATTAATCAAATTTGATTGAATCAATTTAATTCATATATGATACGGATATCTCAACTTAATTTAGTTAGTGTTGGTGTTCTGTTCTGTTCTGTTTTGTCTACTTACAGAGTAGACAACGGTGAGGATTTTAATGTTGCCATCGAGGGCCCAAGACGAGAGCGTGGCGCCGGTGGCGAGGCTCAGCACCGCCGACTGGGCGGCGCCGAAGAACGACATGATGGCGGTGCTCCAGTACTGGTACGGATATCTCTTCCCGATGTTCGACTGCAGGGGAAACCACGACGACCACAGCAGAGTTCCGGCCACAAGCGCTATGCACCCCACCGTCCAGCTCTCCGCCCTCGGCTTCTTCGCTCCGCCGTGGGCTGCGGCTGCGGCGGCGACTTTCTTCTCCGCGTACGAACCGTTCGCCAGAGCCGGCCCTTTGTACGCCGTCAGCAGCACCGCGCCGGAGATGCACACCACCGTCCCCACCATCTTCGCTTTCCCACTGCTGCATTTCAAATTCAACGTCTCCAGCCTGCCCAAATTCAAATTATTTACCCAAATGAATAAATTTAGATTACCCAGAAATTTCAAATGATTTTTTGTTGACTGTACCCAAATGGAAGAGCCAGAAGAAAAGTGGCGACAGGGACTATGTTGATAAATGCACAGGCGAAAGTAGCCGACGTGTGTTGGATGCCTAGAAGAAAGCAGTATTGGGTCAGCGAAGCCCTGCATCAAACACACACACAAATCAATTTCAATTCCCAATTCTGAATTGAAAAAATTAGAAAACTGACCCAACAATGGCGCTGAAGAACAAGTAACAGAGGATGCGGAAGGAGAGTTTATTTCGGCCATCCCTGCAACCAAAACAAAACCCCAAATTCCAAGTTCGGATCCCCAAAAAAATAAAAAGAAGAAAAGAAGAAAAAAAGACCTTTCATAAAAGTAGGCGATGGGGGCCAAGGAAATGGCAGCGATGGCGAGGCGATAAGTGATGAGAACCAAATGGTTCATTCCATGATCGAGAACTGTCTCCAGCAGAATATTCACTATGGCGAAACCCAAATCTACGGCCACCATCGCAATCAACGGCTTCAAATCCTCCACGCCCTTCATCATCATCTTCTTCTTCTTCTTCTTCTTCTTCTTCTTCTTCTTCTTCTTCTTCTTCTTCTTCTTGTCGTTCTTCTTCTTCTTCAGAGAGGAAATAAATAGGAGAGTGGGGGGCAGTCTGTCAATCTGGAATAAGTGGGCACAAAGCAAGATTAGTTTAAATTCTTTATTTTGTTTGCTATTTACAGTTTTTTATCAATATAATTATATTCTCTTTTTCCTTTTTTCTGCTGGCTTTCTACTCACTGCTCTCCTCTCAAATCCCACGCATTCAAATACTTTAGATTAGATATATTGTCACGCACATTATATTAATGGAGGAATAATTTGTAATGACTTAAAATATTTTTACTTTTGTCACTCTGAGTATGCATTAACTTTAAATTACTTATCTCGAGAAGACTGTGAGTTTGACTTTCCATCCCACTTTTTTTTTATTTCTTTAAATTACTTATCTCGTGAAGACTGTGAGTTTGACTTTCCATCCCACTTTTTTTTTATATCTAGAAATCAAAAGTGATTTGACTTTTATGTCCAACATTTTGTATTTAAATGTGTATATTTGTGTGTGTTTTACTCGATTGTTTTAAAAACAGAAAAAAAATACTAATATTTAATTTCGAATGTCCTTTTAATTTAGCGTGTCTTCATGTTTTAATTTTTTATTATTATAAATTTATTACATGGTCCATAAATATTGAAACCAGTTTCTTAAGTAGAAATTTAGAAAAATTATATCTAAGAGACTAAAATTTCTCCTTTCTCTTTTTAAATTTCTTAAAAGTTAAGACTTTTTCTGGAAAAAAAAGGATTAGATAGTAAAATTTCTGCCCAATTCAGTGAAGGTTGTGACAACTAACCTTGCAATTAGTATTTTCTCCCAAATTCAGTGAGTGTTATGTCAACTAACCTTGCAATTATTTCATTAAAAAAAAAAACTAACATTGGAATTAGTAGAATGTAACATTTACTGATAAGTAGAGTATTTGAAAAATGTTAAAAAGAGAGAACAAAACATCCCAATATTAGGRACTAAAATAAATATTTAACCACTAAATTATTAATAATGACGTTAAGATATTTATAAAAAAATTAAATTTACTGTAACTCATTAGCTTAAATTTTACCTAATCACAAATATTATTAACTCCAAAAATATTGGAACATCATTTTATCATTTCGAGCAAGCTATGCACCACATATGGTCCAACCCCAAGTTTATAGAAAATGTGAGTTTCCCATTTCAAACATGTAAAAACAAAATCATAAATTATAAAAAAGCACCCTTCATTTTTGTACTGTATTTTTCTTCAACCATACATATATATAAAATA